GATATTTCTGTTATGTAACATATAGGCCCTTGCTGGCACTCAATTGCCTCTGATTTGTGAACGGGTACACCCTCAGAAGCGGTTACGCCCGGATAATTTGTTTTCGTGTGTTCCATGCGTGAAATCACGCGCGCGGCAGCAGCGATATCATGCGTCAGAGCGATTGCTTGGAGTTTCAAAGCAGATAGCGAAGTCTTTAATTTTGTAGCATTCTTTCGGAGTTACTCTCTTCCTCTGTCGGCACTCAGGCCTCTCGTTGCCGTGACTCAGAGATACACAATCTCAACTGTCATTAACACGCCTTTTCACTTCCTGAAGAAGCCGGATGAACTGCGTCGTTAAGGGACACGTACATTCGCGTACGTCATTTTCTGCGACGAGGCACGCAAGCTTGAGGGCAGCTGACACATTAAACATCTTTTGAGGACGCACGCGTAGCATTCAGGGCCACAGTGTATTGGGCTCTGTGGTTGGAATCCCCGGAGGTGTCGCTTAATGACACGTTGTTCTGTGGCCGCCCGCGGTACTTCGGTGGCCCATTGGAGGTCGCCCGGTCTCGTACCAAAGCTGAGGAGATATATGAGCGTTAAAGGTTGTGATGCTTTCTGAGACCCTGCTAAGAGGATAAGAATCGTTACATGTGTCTACTGAGACACTATTCGTTACCTCTGTGTCGACACCTATTATCGCACTTGCCATGTGCTTCTGGAACATTCGCGGTGGCTCTTGTCTTTGCTGAGATGCAAGTGGCACCCTAACATGAAAAGCAGTGGTAATGAAGTCTGGAAATGTATTTCAGTGTCATTCACATATAAGGAGTGTTTTTGGCTGAGGGAGTGATGACGTCACTCTGAGCTCCACGCCATCAAAGTGGGTACATCGTTTTTACATCGCTTTGTAGTTCGGCAGCTCGTTAAAAATGCAATAAGCGGAGATTTTCGAGACTATAGTCGTAACGTAACACTTCCGATATCATGCAATACACTGTCACAACCTAGAAACTCATATAAAGGTGTGAATGAACTTTTCCCGCAGGAAATGACGTTGAATGAGGATTGTTTGACAAGTAGCGCGAGTTGCTGGACACCATGCTTGCGTGTGCTTCATTCCTATCCGCCATCAACGACACAACACGTCGGTATGATATGAGAGTCCTGCAACGTTCGTCGGCCACCTTCGTAGACTGAGCGCATGTGGCTGGCATCGCTGAGCTAATGTAGCTTTACGTCGAAACGGCATTGGTTATCGTATCCGCAGACAGACATACCCGCCGTCCACCGAAACCGGTCCACCGAAAGGCCAATCTGTACTATCATCGCACCAGAAACGGAACGTTTTGAATGTGACAGGTCCATATGCATCAAAGACGTCTTTATTATTTTTTGGCTTGCCTGTTTTGTGCATTCGTCATTCTTCCAGTCTTTCTTCTCCTTTTACCTCCCCCGTAGTCTATCGGTTGGCAAACCGATAACTGGCCTCGTTAAACCCCTGCCTTTTCCTCATCTCTCTCTCTCTCTCTCTCTCTCTCTCTCTCTCTCTCTATCTTTTTCGGGAGTTCGGCGGATGGGACGAAGTGTATCGCCGCTCAGCTCATCTGTGACATAATTCCTGTCGACAGCAAAGAGTTTTCCATCATCTACAGGCATATTCTAAACATTTGCAACAACTATTTGCTGCATGATATTGATCGGGCTAGTGTCTGAATATCCACTTATGACGACGGTGGCGAGAATCATTCCGAACCTGCGCTGATAAACTCGGCATAATAGAGGCAAGGCTTAAATGCTCCGGCTGTGCAGCGTGCCCTAGCTAAGAACAATTATACAGCAGCAAAATTACGAAAGGTATTGAATTGAGGCCAGAAAAAGTTTACAAATGTCGTTGGACGAATAAAAAAAAGTGGACACAGGAACTGGCCGCGTCCTCCCAGTTTCTCAAGGTGACACGGAATCCGCGGCGTTCAGTCTGCTCTGCCGCATATCGTATGAACGCTGCGTCAACCTTTCTCAGGCCTCCAAGGCGCCGCTATCACTACTCGAGACGAAGCGCGATATCGCGCGACTTTCCGAACGATCAGGACGAACTACCACGAACTCTCGAAATATTTGCCTGCCTAGTGGCACCACCGACGAGACACAATCAGTAAAAAGAGTAAGCTGGCTCTTAGATTTTTCGGTGAAAAACAAGATATAGTATCCACACAGTGCAGCTTTGACAGCTAAACGCGCGGCCGCGGCAGATACACGAACCGTTTATCGTGACTCTGCATACAGCATGCAGCCAGGGCAAAGAAAAAAAAAGAAAAACAAAGAGGGTGATGCTTAGTCGGAAAAACGTTGCGACTCGGCGGTCGAGTGATCGCGTAGCGTAGCCGCAGGGAGACACAACGGGCCCCTGTCCCTCCCCCCCCCCCTTATACGGAAATTTTTTCGCCATGACATACAGAGCAAAAAATGGCCATTTCAAGGGGGTGCCCCTCCCCCTGAAACCAAGGCTGTGCTCCCTGCGAAAAACAAAATTTCTGCATATGCCCCTGATGATGATATGTGGGCTTTAACACCACAAAACCACCACATGATTATGAGAGACGCCGTAGTGGAGGGCCCCGGAAATTTAGACCACCTGGGATTTTAACGTGCACCTAAATCTGAGCACACAGGCCTACAGAAATTTCGTCTCTGCCGGAAATGCAACCACCGCAGCCGGGAGTCGATCCCGCGACCTGCAGGTCTGCAGCCGGGTACCTTATCCACTAGACCAAGGCGACGGGGCGACTGCCTAGCGTCTGAGAGTGGAGGTTTTTGCTATTGGATGCTGCGCAGCGAGAAATACTTTCTGAATACGGAGGCATACCTAAGTCGTACATTCTAACGGTTTGCATGGTGAGGCAATCTACTTTGTTCGAAGTATGGCTGGAGCCAGACATTATGGATGGTGAGGCGAAGGTTTCCTGCTATAGTCAATGAATAGAGCAAAAAAAGCTATCCATTTTATATATTTCTATGAGGTAGAGCATGCCAAAACGACGGTATTATTACGTTTCACGCATTCCGTTTAATATTGGTCACCTCCAGTTCATAACGTTAATCCAAGTATATCACGTGCTCCTGCATTTCGCCTCGACAAAAATGTGGGTGCCATGACCGGCAATCTAGCCAGGGTCTTCGAATTTAGCAGAGTGACAGTTACCGCAACATATCAGGAGGAAAAAAATATTAAAAACTACCGGGTCGTTACAAAATGTACAGCCCCGACAGATTGCTTTTTGCGTATGCAAGTGCTTTTCATTATTTTACTTTCTTCGACCATTCACTTAGAAACCCCCATCCTACATATGTTGTGGCTGCGTTTCTTGTGGAGATAACGTCAAATTATGGCGGTGTCGAGCTAGTCATGCAATCTGTAAACTTGATAGCGGGCGGCCTGGTGGAGAAAACAGAACGGGTGCCAAGAAAAAGGAAGCGCTGCAGTTAAGATGGCGGATGACAAGAGCACTTACCAAAAAGATGGCGTGACCGGCATCATCCGAGTCAAATGTCATCCGTTTTGAAAGTGTAGCAACTCCGCCCAAAGAATTATGACATTCGGTAGTGAAGGCATTCAGTTCCTGAATGCCTTCACTACCAAATGTCATTTCCTGTGCCCGTTTGTCACGGGTATAGGGCATTTGAAGATACGCAGGGCAAAAAGAACAGACTGAAATGGAGATAAATTTAAGATATGGGAGAAAGGCCCTCATTTTTCAGGAGACATAACTAAGGGCAGAGAGATGTTATGCATGTTGATGATTATGGTGACGTTGAGCAGGCCATTTGTTTCTGTATGGCGTGGACTCATGCAGGCTGAGTTTAGTGGGTGGCTAGTGCGTCCCCCCCCCCCCAAAAAAAAACACCTGCTTGTTCACGTTTCACTTCCTACGTACGCGTGGCTGCTCTAGCACAATTCAACTTTCTTTGAAACCCAGCTATACGAAGCCCAACTTTTGTTCACTGTTCATGGGTAAAAATGTATACGAGAGCACTGTATACCCGTCCGTTGAAAATAGGGAAAGGGGAAAGTGCTCGACCTCCTTTTCTTCTTCTTTTTGGAAGGAGGAGGGGGATAGCTGTATAGAATAAAAGAAGTCTGGTACATTTAGAAAAAGTCTAGACATTTTGTTTTGAGGTGTCCGTGTAATAAGTGTGAGGAGAACTGTGCTCCAGTAGATTTAGCAAAAGTCTAGACAAGGATTCGCTTTGAGGTATTCGTATAATAAGGGTGAAAAGCTGAGGGCGTTCCCCGTAACTGTTTTTGGGCAGTTCACGAGAACAAACTGTATGCGCAAAGGGGTCGAAAGCCAGTGTGTTCCGTAGCTCACATTGTGAACGGATACCACAAATCTGACACTCTAGAGTAAGAATACATCCTGATACACGTGGTTTTGTTACTGCCCGACTAGAACACTTGAACATTGTAGTTTAGAACAACTACGAGAATTAATATACACGTTTAGTTACGTCAGCGCCAGTTTTTCAGCACTGTAGCTCGTTTTTATTTTAAACCCCATCAAATGAAGAAACCATGTCAGCTCCACAGACGGTATCTTAATATCTGTTAAAACGTCTCTTAAATGTGTGCTAGAATAAATAAAATGAGCGATGTTGCGTTCGCATGTTCAGGAACTCTTTAATGTCCCCATTGGTCTTTTCATGGCGGCTCAATATACTTAAATACATGTGCATCCCAGAGTACAACCACAGACATGGGGCCAAAGCTTTGTGAAAGTGCTACCGCGTACTTTCTGTTCAACGCGTGATATGCATGGAGAGTGCCTCTGGTGGCTCTCATTCTTCCATGTCTTTCGTGATATTTAGCTTTGCTCTTGTGGAATAGCGCAGCGTAGAGATGATTGATTGATATGTGGGGTTTAACGTCCCAAAACCACCATAGTGTAGAGATGAAGTCTGCTCTGTTAGCAACGAACCCTAACCACATCACTCCCTTCCTCTCTCTCGCTGCAGCAAGAGCCGGGTGGTTCGGGAGAGGAGATCCTGAACGGCATTCGCTACGTGCGGCCAGGCAACAACTTCCAGCCGAATTTTCCGTTGTTCCAGAAGATGGACGTCAACGGCGACACGCAGCACCCGCTCTTTGAGCTGCTCAAGGTCAGTCAGTCGGATGCCGCCTCTCTGAAACACGCGGGCAGTTCATGGAAAATAATATCACAGCCCACCACACGATGTTTTCTTGGAAGGCGTACATGTCTTTGTTGCTCACACGCCGGCTGTGTTGGCGGCGATCCAAAAGAATCACCCTGAAGTGCACTCGCATAGGGCATTAAGGAAAAAAAAACGCCAGGCCTGCGCGGCCGGCGTAGCTCAGTCACAGCGAAAGCATGAAGAGCGCCCTTTTAGAGCCTCTTTTAAACACTGTTTGGGTAAATGCTGGAAGCACACACGCAAGGTGCCCACTACGCCATAAATATTCACAATTTATGCATACTAGGCCGGCATTCACTATGCTATTTTTCGTTATTCTTCGGAGAAGCGTGGTATCAGCTAAACAGTTGTAACGAATTTTTTGTTGCATTCAGTGGCTGACGACGACGAGGAATTACACCTGAAGTGCGTATGTGTCACACTTAATAGGTGATGAACAAACTTTTGTAGTGTGTTGGAGCATTGGACGACCCACCCGTTACTCGATTCACATTGTGTGACGACTGGTTGTTCCGTTGCTGTTCCAAAACGTTTTATTACTCAAATTAACGCAACTCCTTTCCCGACATCAAGCCTGCCTAAGGAAAGCTGGCGAACGAGTCCCGAGCACCAGCGTGGCTCAGTGCTAGAATACTGGGCTGGCACGCAGCGGACCCGGGTTGGAGCCCCCACTCTGTGCTTATACTAAGTTTGTTTTTATTATTTCGTGTGATAGTGGTCACGGACACCGGCGGCAGCGGCGGCGGTGGCAGACAACTACGGCGCCACGCGTGACCCAAGTTGTGATCTCATAACAGCTTTTGCTGTAAAAGTTAATGCAAACAACCAAACCGCGTACTAAGCGAGTGCATGCTATGTAGGCGCGCAACGGCAGGCGTCGAAGAGTACTTGCCTTGCATGACGTCACCCAGACCTCTTCCAGGCAACGCCACTCCGAAAAACGCCCGCTTTTTCCATGCGTGGCGTGCATTTTCACTGCATTGTGAGTCATGATATCGTCTCTGTAATTACTTATCTACATATTCACATATTGAGATTGTGCCTTAGATATGCGTAATTTTTGTTTTCTGATTGACGTTTCCAAGTATGAACGCCGCAATCAGTTCAAGATGTCTGGGCGCTCAGCAATAGCTTAAACTTCGGCCCTATGGCTCCATTTTGTGACATGCAGTTAACGGTTTTGAAGAAACATTGTAATGATGTATCTGAGACGGCTAAATGCTATCCCATTTTAGAGCACCAAGTACTCAAAGTTGTTAAACACTTTTATGAAACACGTGATTGTCCACGACGGTGGAACAGTGGTTACAGTGCTCGGTTGTGCCCCGAAGGTCACGATTTGGATCCCGGCCGTGGCGGTCGCACATTGATGGAGGTGAAATGGTAGATGCCCGTGTACTATGCGATGTCAGTGCATGTTAAAAAAACACCGGATGGACGAAATTTACGGAGCCCTCCACTACAGCGTTTCTCATAATGATATTGTGGTTTTGGAACCTGAACGTCCAGGTAATTTATTATGTTTATTTAAATTCATTATGCTTGTATAAACAGAATAGCGTGGAGTTAATAAAAGATGGCTAGAAGTTCATTTATAATTTGGTGCTCTTCGATTTAGCGCCTTCGCTGGTGTCATGTCTAAACCTTCTCTATTTTTTTATCTTTTTTTTATTTTGGGGGGCAGGTTGTTCTTTAAGTGCAATTCAAATATAAAGATGATCCATTTATTTTGTTCACTGTATTGTATATTATTCACCAGCTTGCCCATCATCGCCATGTTTTTCAGGTATCCCATTTCAAATGGCTAAAAAAAAACGTGCTCTATAATCATTGGGACACACGTATATGGTTGAGCGGGAAATCCTCTTGTGAGGGCAACAATATTACCAGCACAAAAATGTCTTCAACAAACGTAATTCTTGAATGATGACTAGGTAGACACCAGTGATTGTTTTTTGCAAATTTAGAGAGCAGAACACAAGTGGTGGTGGGCCCGAGTATTTTATGGCAAGCTTTCTCGTGTTCTCTCGTGGAAGGATATCATCGCTTGTGGGACATCTCTTCCGATAGCTATAGTTAAACAAACCAAAAGAATGGTGTGTCGGAGACGATAATCAAGTAGATTACGGAGCGCTACCATCTCTATTTAGTTTTGTTTTAAAGTAGTTATTCTGATAAAATTGTGACATCACCCGCTTTTGTTGTCGTTACTGCTGCTGATACTGCTCTGCTTGTTCAGCCAGATGAACATGTCTTACTTTATAACGAAATTTATTTAACGGGCCTCATTATTGATGATTAGACGCTAACAATATAGGCAGCCGTAGAATTCGAGAGCTGTTTTTAATTTTCATAAACATGCCATATTTCACATTTTACTTTATTGGCTGCCCCGATACAGCAGAAGCTTAGGCTGAGTTCACATGGTGAAGACAGAAGTGGTCTTCTATTGCCTTGTGTTTCGAACTTGTACTGAAATGCTTTTACAGATAATTGTAAAATATTAATGGGCTAGATCCCTTCCGTTCTCGGTTGTTCTCATGGAGAAATGCTATGACAGCATAATTTCTTCGTTCACAGAAAGCCAACCGATATCAAAAGATAATTAATTTCCTCTCTACCAACTCAATAGTAGTACTTGACGAGTCAGAGAGGCTGTGGGCAATTTCATAGTCGAAAAAAAAAAAGCCGTTGTCAATGACGCTGCCCAGACTGTCGCTTTGGCGAGTTCGTTTTCGCAAAAAAGAAAAGCTGTGGTGGCGAGTCCAACCAAGAGCAACGCCGTGTCTGCATTCCGCACGAAAAAAGCCATATAAACAAGAAAGTTTCTAACAACAGCAAAGCGGCAAAGGTGGTGCAAAACAGACGCTTCCCTCAAACCACTCCAGCACTTTCCTCACCCAAGAAACACCAGCGCCTTCCTCCTCCTCGTTCGTGTGAGGGATGGACATTTTGGGGGGGGGGGGAGGGGACTTATCTCGCCTTTTTATGTCACTAGGCTCCACCTTTATCCCCCGTGTATTTCTCCCTCGTGTGAATTCTGCTTAAAAAATGCCAGACATGCGTGGAAGGCGCAGCACAATCACAGCGAAAGCTAGAAGTGCGGCCTTTCAGGGCCTATTCTAGACACTCATTGTGTAACTACTGCAAGCACAGTTGCTGGGTGCCTACTACGGACTTAATAATAATAATAATATCTAGGTAGTAGGTCGGCATTCACTATGCTAACATTCGTCAATCTTCTGAGAAGCGTGGTATCCGCTGAACACTTGCAAGTAATTTTGCGCCAACTTTTTATGCAGTGGCTGACGACGATGAGGAATCATGCCTGAAGTGGGTATGCGCCACAGTTAATAGGTGTCAAGCGTTTGTAATGGGTTGGGGCATTGGACGACCCGCTATTAGCTTTGTGTGACGCCTGGTTGTTCTTTCGCTGTTTTAAAACTTTTTATTACTCATATTACCACGATTTCTTTCCCGACATCAAGTCAGCCTAAGGCAAGTTTGCTAACGTGTCCCAAGGACCAGCGTGACTTAGTGGTATACTCGGCTGGCACTCAGTGCGGCCTGGTTCAAATCTTACTATGTCACCACATGTTCTTGCTGTTTCTTTTATTTCAGTTTATTTCTCTCTTATTTGGTGCGATAGTGGTTACGGACGCCGGCGGTGGTGGCGGCGGACAACTACGGCGCTGTGCGTGACTTGTGATCTGACAACAGCTTTCGCTGTAAAAGAACAAATACAATGTCGTGCGCTAATACACTGCGTTTATTGTGCACCCCTTCAGGATAAGATTCATGCACTCATTCGATCGGTCATTCAGATAATATTGAGGGCGCGTTTGAGAGGAATTCCTCGACACCTAATCCGACACCATCTGATCTGTTGTAGTTTATTTCGCTTCCGCAGTTGACCACGTGTTATAAAAGTATGTTTTACTGACAAATCTCTGTAAATGGTCCAAAACCGCATTGGGGAACAGTCTGATGCCGAGTACGTTCGCAGTGCGTTTCATCGCCAGAATAGTATTGCGTAATTTAAATTCTAGCGCCACAGACAAAGCTGATATAGTTTGAAAATTCCAACGCAACAATCAGAGGATGCAGTGTACATAAAACACTTCTTACGCTTCAGTGTGTTGGTAACGCGAAAAATTAACATAAAGTGAGTTACGGGGATGGTGAGAAATCACACAAGTAGTGCGGGTAAGATACTATGTCACTATTAGGCAATTCACGCTGTAGTCTTTAGAAGGACTACTTCGGACTGTAGCTTCCGTTGCTATAGTTGACGCATGCGTTAAGTGTCTGCGTGTCACTATGAGTGACAGAAAAGCCGTGTCAATAAACTTGAGTCTCGCGGCTAAGCTAAATATAGCACATGTTAATATAGAATGGTTTCAAGGTATGACATTTCTTTTGTTCTACGTATTATGATCACTTCCGCTAGCTCAGCCCAGGGAGCTATAGCATTAAACAGTTTTGATATCCGTGAATGTTATTGTATCATTGTGATTTCTATTTTTTTGACAGTAACAAAGATTATTGAACTGTTTGTCTTTCGTTTATCTTTGCAGAGTCACTGCCCGTCGCCGGTGTCCAAATTCCGGCCGAGAGAGAAACTCTTCTACACTCCCCAGGACAACAGTGACATCCGCTGGAACTTTGAGAAGATTCTCGTCGACCGAAACGGAACTCCACTCCGCCGGTACGAGCCTGGCTTCCTGCCGGCTGACATCACCAGCGACATCGAAGCCATTATTACGGGCGAAGGCTGCCTCCGATTGATAATTAGTCATCTCACTCGAACTCCAAGCGGCTTTATCGCTTCACCTTCAACCTAACCTAAAAATTGATGGTATACGAACTTTGTATTATCCGATTCCCTGAGTAGACATATTTTGTATTCACTCTCAATCCACGCCGCTGGCAACGTTTCGTGATTACCTTGGCAAAACGTACTCACATTCAGCACGTGCCACACAGAAAACAGTTTGGCTGGCACAATACTAACCATGGTTGTCGCCATGCTTAAGAAGGAAAAATTCAATCGGATGGTCACAGAAGAACAACAAAACTGAAACTGATTTTTGAAGCTTCCGTGGACTTTACAAATGATTGTGATATACGGAGCTTGTAAACTCTGAATGTGCCGATGGTGTGCTATGAAGCACAAGCACACACACAGAGAAGAAAGGAGCACGGCGGGACAAATGTATCTCTCGTGTAACGCTGAATTAAGTTGCTGTGCTGAAAGCGGCAGGTATAACCTCCGATTGGCTTGTTGTACTTAATTTTTCTAAAGCACAAATAGCCGAAGTACGTACAGCGCCGAGAAGATCGCTTAATCGGTAACTATAAGACCGTCTGTTTTTCACCATTATTACGTGCTATGCATTGTCTTCCCCGAACCAGAACAAAAGGGCTGATTTACTCCAGCTCATATTTCGCGTGTGGCCGCTCTCTTAAACCTTCCTCCTTGAAGGTTTGTCAAGGTGCGTGTTTGCGCACAGCTTCATCGCCACTGTTTGAAGGTGCACTTTACAGGAAGCGACTGAAGCCACTGTCCATCTGCCATTAATGCCATCATCGTATCGGACTCATCGTCGGCTGGCTTCCAGAGAAGACAGGAGAGCGACGACGTAAAGCCGAGGTCCGGCGCAAAGGCCAACTTATGACGAGCTGTTCCTCAAGCGAAGTCGCCGGGACAGCTCTGAAGGGAACCGCCAACGCAAGACCCCCTTTTTGTGCATTCGGGGGGCGCTGCACCCGACTGGCGGCGACCTGGCTCGCGCGGTCCGGCCCTCCTTGCGGAACGTTCGACGCTCTCCCATACCCTCAATGGAAGGCTGGCTGGGTCACGAAATAAAATCAGCGTCCTTGTTGTGACATCGGAATCCCACTTTTTTGCTCTCTATCTTTACTGAAAGGTCGGCGGCTTTTCTTAGCGCCGTTGGCATTACACGCTGCTTAGAACACCTGTATGGCAGCCGCCACGGTACTAAACGGTGTAGAACAGGTTTTTCTTTTTTAATAAAGACGACAGTCTTTCTTGGGGACCTTCGAGGCAAAAACTTTGGTCTGTCTGTCTGTCTGTCTGTCTGTCTGTCTGTCTGTCTGTCTGTCTGTCTGTCTGTCTGTCTGTCTGTCTGTCTGTCTGTCTGTCTGTCTGTCTGTCTGTCTGTCTGTACATTTGTCTATTTGTCTATTCCTAATAGTACTCTAAACGGCACCCAAGTGACCAAACGATACTCCAAACAGCTGACCCCACCCGCAGCGGCCACCAATATTGCTCAAGATTCAGCGTTCCGATACTTGTGCGATTGTCAAATAAAATCAATTATTGCGCATATCTGAGGCACCATAATAACACGTCAATATTATGCATCTGTATTTTTTACTAGAAAAGGCACACATAAGTAATTCTAAGGACCGTAGCGTTTTTCACGCTGCAGTGACCATGCAACGCTTGCAAGAAAAGACAAGTGTTTCCGACGCTTTGCTAAGACGACACGTTGGTAGCACCTACCAGTCGCCTTGCGTTCTACACGTTATCACCTCAGAGACGTGCGCGTACGCCGCGCACTCTGTTTTTCAGGATAACTGCCAGATAGCACTTACGTCTCACGTTTGACGTGACTTGACGCGCTCGTTCACCTCCACTGCAGGCTCGAGGCACTCTAACGCAGCGCCTCCAAAATACCATTCACCGATTTTCTTGCGCAAAACATCAAATCAACGTTTTGTTCACTCTCTCCAGACGCAAGATGTTGACGACATTTGCAGTGTAACATGCAGATACGGGGCCAATTTTTTAGGTCTACTTTTAGCAAAAAAATAGATTTAAAGCTTTTCAAGTTCAGTCAGCGTTCCCGAATGACAATGAAGGACAATCGGTCTATTTAAAAATGCGGCGAATCAGTCGATATGGAGTATTTACTTGCATGGATCTTTTTGCTCGCTTGCTAGTCGCGATGGCAGCATTTCAGTGCGCTGGAATGCAAACGGCCCATGCTATCTGATGGACTGCATAGCCTTTTTAATCACGCCGGCTTGTTTTTAACACTCTTTGGGTGACTGCTACAAGCAGACTTACAGGGTACACGCTCTGACAATAATCATATAATTTTTGTGTAGTAGAGACATTCAATATGCCTTCTTTCTTTGCCATTCTTCTGAGATTAGTACCCGCTACGCATTTCCAATGCATTTTTTGCAATTTTTATGCCTTGGTTGATGACAATGACGAATTATGCCTGAAGCTTTCTAATAGGTTGGAGTATTCGTAATGACCCATTCGTTACGCAATTCGCATTGTGTGACGCCTGGTTGTTCCTTTGCTGTTCTGAAACGCTTTATGACTCATATTCCCAATTCCATATAAGGCCCGTTTGCAACGGGCTTTCAAGCGCGCGTGGCTCTGTGGTAGAATACCAGTCTGGTGCGCAAGGGACCCAAGTATGAATCACACTCTGTCCTTTGTGTGTTTTTTTTTACCTTGTTTTTCTTTCTCATTTTTCGTGATAGTGGTTGCGAGCATCGGTGGTGGCGGCAGACAACTACAGCACACGCGACTTTCATTGTGATCCCATAAAAGCCTTCACTGTAAAACAAGCAAACATTCAAGCCGATGACAGGAGCTGAAGGCTGTGCTTTTCTTTTTTTTTCTAACCTCGGAGCGCGCCTAAAACGGAACAAGGCACATGGGCATGTACAGAGGCCTTCACTTCCATTTTGAACACTGCAACGTGCGGCTAGCGTACAGCTGCCTAAAGGTAGCATATACAATAACTCTAGCATCGGCTTTCCTCTGTGACGTTATTATTGGTGGTAGATTGAGTAGATTGTGTACACATATATCGTAGTCATGAGACCCTCCCCTCTTTCCATGCGTATGCTTGTGAAGAGAGTAAGCAAAAATAATGGCAGTAAAAAAAATTCACACCGTATCTGCATGTTACGCTGCAAATGTCGTCGACAGACGATAGTCTTGCGTCTGGAGAGAGTGAACAAAACGTTTATTTGATTATCTGCTCAAGAAAATTGGTGAATGGTATTCTGGAGGCGCTGCGTTACAGTGCCTCGAGTGTGCAGCGGAGGCGCATGAGCGCATCAAGTCACGTCACACGTGAGACATGAGCGCTACCTGGTAGTTATCTTGAAAAGCGAAGTGCGCGGCGTGTGCGCCGGTCTCGGAGGCGATAAGGTGAAGAACGCAAGGCGACGGGTAGGTGCCGCAATCGTGTCGTCTTAGCAAAGCGTTAGAAACACTTGCCTTCTCGTGCAAGCGTTGCATAGTCAGCGCAACGTGATAAACGCTACGGTCCTTAGAATTACTTATGTGTGCATTTTCTACTAAAATAACACAAATACAGAATATTGACGTGTTGTTTTCGTGCCTCAATTGTGCGCAATAATTGCCTTTTAATTGACAATCGCACAAGTATGAACGTTAAATCTCGAACAATATTGGTCGGCGCTGCGGATGGCGTCGGCCGTTTGGAGTATCGCTTGCTGCCGTTCAGAATATTGTTACGGGCGGACAAACAGATAAACGTACAGAGAGACAGACAGACCAAAATTTGTGGGTCGAAGGTCCCCTAGAAAGACTATCGTCTTTAAAATACAGCAAACGACTGGTACAGTGGTCGTTTGGAGCAACAACCTCTCGTCACACCAGTGAATGAACTTCGAAAACGTACCATTGCAATCACCCACCCGATTGCCACGCCACTCGATAATCGTTAATCTCCGTTAAGCATAGGTAGCGTAGTCCTCGTCGGGGTGAAGTGCGTTTCACAAGTCAAGGACGGCTCCGCTTATAACGTAGAATGAGAGTGACTGCATGCCTATGGGAATTATTTTTATGTTCAGCTCCATTTGTCAAGAGCGCGGACGCTGTGATAGCTCTTGGTCAACATTTTTTTTTCAGTTTACTGTGCACATCCACGCATGCTTGCGATACGCAATAACATTTTTTAATAACGCTGCACGTTGGCAACACAATTTCGCACGCGTTATTTTTCAGGCGGACGTTCTCGCAACCATGGTTGTTTCACTGGGACTTTTGATATGAATGAAGTATTCCAGTCGAAAATGTTTTATCAAGCCATCAGCGAGGACAAGGCATTCATTGTTGAGAAATTTTCACTTGGTCTCAATCGGAAATGCACCTGGGACCAGACTGTACCTACTCACATAACAATAGCTTGTTCGCTGCGTATATGCGCGAGAAACCTATACAACGCGCAAAAGCGCGTAATGTTTTCTGTTTGTTTTTGTTTTCGTCTATTGCTTTCGTCACTATGCTCCCTGAAACGATGCGTTGCGGCAAGGTGTCTTCCGGTGTTTGCAAGCGTGCAGCTGGTCATTCTTTTTACGTGAGCAGATTGCAACCGTAAAGAATATTTCACTGCGCAGCGTCGATATGTCATGCGATATGTTCATGTATACGTTGATCTAACATGTTCGTGCATTCATGTTTGCTAAGCACTTACCGTTATTTATTATTTCATTACCCACAGTGCCGATTGGGTATTGCAATAGGTGGAGTGGTTGCAAAAAGCAGGATGCAAAAAAAATACATTGTAAGCCAACAATTAATTAAAGCCACCGCAATTACAATCCGCAAACACAAGTAACCTGTATCAATGAAACATGCCAAAACATTTAGAAAAATGCAACACACTCATTCAAACAGAGAATAAAACAACTCATTTGACATCGTAGAGGCAATGCTAAAGAAGGCAGTAAATTTTCATTCTCTGATTGTTTCGGTAAAAAAATCGTTTTAAAGTACGGCCAGTCTTGCATGCGATTTCTCTTATCTGAACCTATGGTCAACGCCGTCTGAGACATAGTATGGTGCAAGTAAATATTTCGCTTCATCGATTCCGACATGACAATGATAATTACCCATGAAAGAACCTTCAATAGTAATTTGCGTCGACGTTTCCGTAATTGTTTGATATGTGGGGTTTTAACGTCCCAAAAACCACCTTATGATTATGAGAGACGCCGTAGTGGAGGGCTTCCGTTTGGACGGATGCATGGACGGAGCGCACGGATGGCTGCACGGACGGATGGACCATGGACGGACGCTGGGGCGGATGCATGGAAGAATGCCGAGACGGACGCAACAAATGGACGTGCGGACGCACGAACAGACGCACGCACGGATGGTCCTACAGACGACC